GAGGAGAGAAACGCTGAATGACTGGCTTTCTGGTCTGGTACCCAAAAAAGGGTTGACGTTGGTTGTATCTGCAGCGGGAATCAGTTCATCGAATGGGGGCGGAAGGTACTCTTTACTTCACACTGTTCTCTAGCGGTCGAAATTTTTCCGTGAGCCTGTGTTGCTGTTATGACGACAGAGAGACCCATTTCTTCCTTCCCACCTTATCCCCACTTGTTCGGGAGCAAGCTGATTCTATCTTGCCTGCAATCCTGAGGCTTTTGTAACTTGTCACAGGAGAGCGACTATTACTCACAGAGCGTTGGCTGTATGGGAGGCAGAGTGCTGAATTCTCTAAACATCTTCCTTACTGCTCCCCATAATTCTTTTTTTAATTAATTAATTTATTTTGAGAGAGAGAGACAGTGCCTGTGGGAAGGGCGCCGAGGGAGGGAGGGAGAGAGAGAATCCCAAGCAGGCTCCACACCACCAGCACGGAGCCCAACGGGGGACTCGAACTCACGAACTGTGGGATCAGGACCTGAGCCAAAACCAAGAGTCGGACGCTTCACCGGCCGTGCCCCCCAGGTGCCCCTGCTCACCATAATTCTAAAGGCAGTTACTACCACCCTCTTCTTACAGGCGAGGAAACTGAGTCTTTGATGGAGGAACTTGTTGAAGCTCACAGAGTTCCTCCTAAGCCAGAGAGCCAGGATTGGAACCCAGCGGCCCCCTAGGTGGAACCCCCACACCCTTCTCTGCCGCCAGTTACCTCCTTCCGCCAGGTCTGATCACATCACTCCTTTGCTTAAGATCTGGGGAGCCCTCCCCTCACCCTGAGGGATAGGTGCCTGGAGAACACAACCTAAGCTTCTCAGAATGTCATTTCCAAGCCCAGTGTTGAGTGCATTCATCCACGCACTCATCACAAACCAACAAATAACAGCAAGCCCTAACACGGGCTTTGAAGCCATTTTGCACACGTCTCCCCAAACCCCTGCGCACAGGCAGGGGAGCTAACAGGTCCTCCGGCCTGTCAAGGGGCAGGACATTCCTTCCTCGTTCTCACGGTGCTCTGCGCCTCCCTCCTCGTTTCAAGCACGCCAAGTATCTCCACTCCTCTCTGCTCTGCACGGCTGTCGCTTCTGACAGGTATGCCCTTCGCCCTGCCTGGCAAACGCCTACAAATCCTTCGTGGTTTCTGTTGCTCCAATGAGCCCCCCTTCCCTTGGGTTCTCTTGACGCCCCGATCCATTTTCCCACCATCGGGGCACGGACTGCATCACACTGGATGCATTTCCTGGCCCGACTGTCTCTCTCAGCAGACTGTGACCTGTCGTAGGACAGAGATTATGAGTCGTGAGCATGACCTTAGTGAGGAAGCCGGGACGGACTGGTGAGGGATGGAATGGAGGAAGGAAGACAGGGCTAACAGCAAAGCTGTGTCCACTGCTTCCAGGATTCATGCAACACCGAACCGGTACATATCAAAGAGGAGAATAGTACTAGGGGCAAAAATAAATGGTAAGCAAGACAGAAATGGGAATATGTATAGTGTGTGTGTGTGTGTGTGTGTGTGTGTGTGTGTGTGTGTGTGGAGGGAGAGAGAAAGGAGGGAGTACATACCTCTACTGTGTGTGTGTGTGTGTGTGTGTGTGTGTATAATGTGCATATGTAATGCATACATGTCTGTGCATACATGTATATGAGTCTGTGTATGTATGTGTATATTCATATGGGGTGTGTTGTATGTGTGCAAATGCATGCCTGTGGACATATAATAGTGGGCGGACCTACGGTCTGTGTATGGCCATACACATAGTGTGTATATGCACATGCAGTTATTAGATGTTGTGTGTGTGTTTCAGAATGCAGTGAGAGCAGAGATTTGGAGAGTGCGGTAGAAGCTGGCACGAAGGACATTCGTCACAGGCAGAACAGATACTTTCCAACAAGAAGAGCATCACCTGGGGGCTTGCCTCCCAGCTGAGAAAAGTGTGGGCCCCCTGAAGGAAGCTAGAGAATTAGGAAGGAAAGCAGTTTGGAGAAACCTCACTAAAATCATTCTAAGAAGAGGCGGGTTAGCAAAAACAAATAAATACCCTTTGAAAAGAAAAAAAAATGCTGGAAAGATGAAAACCCAAGAGGAAGAAGTCACTAGATTTGATCATTGGGAAGGGAGCAGGGAGCCGGGTGTGGACGCTTCTGGAAGAGGTGGGGGCTGCATGACTCAGAGGTAAGGAAGTAGAACCAGACAAACACAGACTTCTGTCTCTTTCCAAGTCTTTTAGCCTTCAAAGGAGGACAAGAGAATCAGCTTCCAGGGAAAGGCGGGATCAAAACCTGGGCTTGCTTGATTTGGTCCCCTGTGCGGTGGGAGAGCTCAGGTGTGTGGACGGGAGATCCCTGTCCCCGCCCGGCCATCTCAGCGCTCACATCGTGAAGCGTCCCCGGCAGCAAACCAACGGTCCGTGACCTCCAGCCCTCCTACCCCTGCACACGCAGGGATAACCCAGAAGCCCTGTGAGGCAGGCTCTGTGATGATCCACATTTCACAGATGAGGAAGCCAAGGCAAAGACAGGTCAAGTGATCTGTCCATCATCACTCAGCTAGTGAGTCCCGGAGTCAAGCCTCCCCTCAGGGTAGTCTTGCTGCCCTGTGTGTGCTCTTGCTGATACGTGGTGGGGGGTACAGAAAACAGGGCCCTTGACTCAGGTCCCGTTTAGGCTGGCCTCGCCCACTCTCCCTGGCTTTGAATCCAGGGATGTCCAAGCAAAGCAGGGGGCCAGGCGGGGGAATTTTGCTCGAGAGGCGGTGGCCGAGGAGGAATAGCAGAGAGAGACCATCTGGTGGTGTTGCAGGGTTTCTGTCTCCCCGGGAGCCGCGGAGAGCACCACAGGCATCAGAAGAGCAGAGTTCAAGGACTGGCTCTAGCTCCTCGTGCTTTATAATTGGGCGTACGTCGCTTCCCCTGTGGGGAACCAGTTCTCCATGGAGGTACCAGTTCTCCATCCCCGATACGGGGTGGGAGTAATCACGATAATCAGAGCAACCGTCCTATCTCCCGCGGAGTGTAAGGAACCAGTGGGGAGATGCGCGAAAAGGCCATGCAGATGTGAACGACTTCACTAGGATTATTATCATTAGGCTCTCAAACTATCTGAAAACCTGCTCATCCTCTCCGCTCCCCTACTTCACCTTCCAATGCATTAAAACATCAATTTAGGGAAAGTGTTTCTAAACCCAAATAACTTCCATGGGTACAAGTTTCCCCAAGATGCAACATTCCCTTATACAGTGAGGCGACAAGAGACGTTTAAAAAATCCTCTGCGTGAGCTGTGATACACTGTCCTGATCCAAGATGCGCAGGCAGTTCGGGGGCAACCCCACTTTCATATATCAATATAATCTTTGAGACCCGGCATGGACCTTCTGCTGCGGACAGAGGAGGAGGTAGGTTTGGTGAAGAAACCAAAAGAGCGCACGTATTGAGAGTGGGGTGGAAATCAGCAGAACATCCGGGCATTCTGATAACATCTTGCCAAAGATTGGGAGAGCCTGAACCTACTTCTCAGGAGGTCTCATCCGGCAGGCTATGGATACCGGGTCTTGAGAAGAACGTTTCACTTTTAAAGGAGACAGCCTGGTTCAGACATAATGAGCCTAGAACTACATACAAAGTTGCCACTCTTTAGACCTTTGTGTCTAAATTGCCTTGGTGTTTTATTTTACCCTATTTAACTCTGCTCCAAAGATAACATGAGACCAATTCCCGCACGTGATGGGTAACAGGTGTGTGGCCAGTAACAGGGACATTTACTGTCACTGTGATCTCACGGTAATCTGTGAGAACATCTGGAACGCCATCTCCCTTTACAGATGAGGAACCAGGGACCTGGGGCCAAATTTCCCTTTTTCTCTCTTTGAGAAAGGGATATGCAATCTGCATGCAGGTCTTTACTTAAGGAAAGGGAGTTTGCAAAAATCCCCAATTTCAGACGCTATGTGTGTGATGGCCATTTACACCAGATGGCTTCCTGAAGAGGAGGGCTTCTCAGAATCTCTTTCTGTATCTTTGCACCCTTCTAATGCACACACCTCACTCACTAGTTTTGCAAAGCAAGGCACACCTGCCCAGCACCACTCTCCTCCAAATAATCAAATGGTCGAACAGTGTTAATCTCTCTAAAACTTTAGAAGGTAATTCTTTGATTTGCTTGTTATGTAGAAATCAGCTGAAAAACTGAAAAGCATCCAGAACAATAGTGCCCCCCACCCTGCGCTGTGAAGTTACTAGAGCAAAACAGACTAACTGACCCCTTCTCCCCACTGTCTCTCCTACAATCCCCCCAAAATACCCCTCACCAGATTCCTCTCGTTCTATGGCTGATGCAGACTCTGAAGGACACCTCCTGCCCCAGCCCCCTCTTCCAATTTTAGTATTTATCAGTCAAAATGCCAGAAAAACAACATCCAGTATTCGTTTGATTTAGGTTGGGGTTTTTTTTTCACTTTTAAAGCACAAATAACATTTCATTCAATATAAATATACAGTTATATGAAAAAATTGGGGTTAAGTACAATAACTGTGATCACTGTCCAGCAGGAATGTTTCACTGTTCACATTTTCCATAAAAATATATTCTTTTAGCCTATTTCTGTGACACTTTGAAAAATAAGAAAGTCCTTGTCCTACAAACAAACGTTTTAGAGATGATTTAAATACACCAGTGATATACATATATCATATATACATATCCAGGAATCAACGCTACTGAAGTGGGCTAGAATTAGACTCCGAGTACAATCCTCAATACGCAAAAACGATATAAATTACTTGGTCAGGCTGTGAAAATACATCAGATTTTACCCACAAATCTCCATCAGGTAATAAATTACTTACAAAAACAGAACAACACAAAGGCTCGGGTGTGTCTGTCCTGATTCCAGTGCGAAGCGCCCAGCAGTCCCGGGTGCGAGGGGCACCCGCCCCGCCGCGCCCGCCGGGGGGCGCGCGCCTCACTTGGCGTGCGGGGACCGGAAGGTCCCCAGCAGCTTGTCCCAGTGCGTGAAGTAGGGGGCGAAGTTGCAGTTGAACTGCGAGTGGTGCAGGTCGTGGTGCTCCACGCCGCCGTAGCAGCCGAAGGGCACGAGTCTGTGCGTGGACCAGGGGAAGTCGTAGCCCGAGTGGTCCTCCACCGACAGCCAGATGTTGAGCACGTGGAAAACCAGCACGGTGAGCGGGTGGCACTCGAGCAGCGTGACGTTCAGCAGGTGGAAGAAGCCCAGGGAAAACAGCTCCCAGACGCTCATGTACTGCGTGGCCAGCGCGAACGACGCCGCGTTCTGGTGGTGCACCTTGTGGAACGTGCGGTACAGCCAGGGCACCCGGTGGTGCAGCACGTGCCACGCGAAGAACTCGGCGTCGAAGAGCAGCAGGCAGCAGCCGACGTGGCGCGCCAGCTGCAGCAGCTCGGGGGCTTCGGGGGGCACGGGGGCCGGGCCGCGGGCCCAGTCCAGCAGCGTCACGGGGAACACGAACACGGCGTGCTGGTAGAGGGTCTGCGCCAGGCAGGGCAGCAGCTGCCGCGCCGACGGCGCGAAGTCCGGGTGGATCTTGTAGCGCCGCAGCGCGGGCACCCAGGGGCACAGCGCGTCCAGCAGCACGAACGGCAGGCAGCAGCCCAGGTAGGTGCCGATGGAGAAGACGGCCGGGAAGAAGGGCGACTGCAGGAGCGCCTCCCGGGCCCGCAGGCCGTCCCAGAGCGGCTGCAGGAACAGCGGGCCGGGGCCACACAGGACGCGGAGCTCGTCGGACGCGTTGCGGCCGCTCATGGCGAGGCCGTGCCCGGCAGCTGCGACGGCTCGCGCCGCCCGCCGCCTTTTCTCGGCGGCCGCGGCCCCGCCCCCGGTGACGTCAGCCGCCCTCGCGCCCGCCCTCCCCGCCGCGCCC